TATATCAAAGACTTAAGAAGTGGTACCATAGCGAGTTTAGGACAATTAGTGTTCTTATGGCAGTCATTGAGTGGCCAAGATTGTTTTCCTTGGCCGTCGAGTGTTCCTTTGCCCGAGACATAGAGGTTGTTCATGTATCTAAAATTGATCCATGTGTCCTGTTTAATGTCGTTGGGGTTTGAAGGAGCCAATAAAGTTCCATCGATGACGAATTCGATTTTACTTTTACATGGTCCCACGAACTCCACACCACCGAGATAGAATGTTCCTTTTGGTACATAGATTATACTATTTCCACCTCTTGAACATGCACTTTTCCACACATTTGTGAACGCCTAGTATCATACATGTTAAGAACAAGATATGTTAATATGTAACATAGTACTTTCATACTATATATATTTTAAGGTGGATTATGATTATATCAAAGTTTTACATCTCAAAATCAAACAACAATAAACTAATTGTGATAAATATCTAAATGCTTAGACTTGATCTTATAATTATAACAGATTCTATATTTTAAATAGATTATAACATGCCTATCCTAACAAACTAATTTTTTTTAAAAGTTCAGATTTTTAACTAAAAGATTATTTTTCTTTAAAAATGAAGGTTTAATATAGCCTATCAAATCTTGTTGTTAACTTATTTTGGCTTGCTCCTGAGATTTTATCTTCTTAAATATTGAATTGAGTTAATTTATATAAAAAACTAGAATATAATCAACCAAAAAAAACTATTTGAAAAGAATAAAAGAAAAAAACTGCAACATACATTGGCATTATCAGTTTTGCCGTCGCGTTTAGCACCATAATGTTTTGGACGTTGAAAACTTTTGACCCAGCAGTAGGATGACTTGCGACGGCTACGAATAAGAGAGACAAACGCAAAGCCATAAACCCAGAAACAATGCAAGCCATTGTTGTTTTTGTTGGAGGTATATATATATATTAGCAGAAATGTGTTAATTATAAATACTTTTAGACACAATGAAAAGTGTTTGCCCCATTTATCAGCTTTTATAGAGTTAATAAATCTTAAGAAGGAACTGTTAAAAACCTATGTAAAAAGAACTTGATTTTTTTTAATAATTATGGGCTAAAACTGATTTGTTTATGGTATAATGATTGTGATTAGTTAACAATTTTTGTTATAGAGATCTTTCTAATGTATTTATGGTTTATTTTTTCTCGTTTAAAACAAAATTGTAATTTTGGTGAATGTATCAATCAGAATTACCAATATATTGTTTTGGTGTGAAACACTTTTTTGTTAAACAAATTCAAAACGATCAGTCTCTTTTTTTGTTTGATT